CATCCAGCTCTACACCTTGTTATCTCAGATTCTCCAGCATCTGTAGTTCCTACTATCTCTGAATATAGAAGGGACACTACCAGAAGGATGCGGATGCTTTGGAGAGGGTGCACTGCAAGTTTTCCTGGATGTTGCCTGGTCTGGATGGTTTTAGTTATGAGGAGAGGCTGGATAAACTCAGATTGTTTTCACCAGAAAGACAGAGACCGAGGGGCAACTTGCTAGACGTCTACAAAATTATGAGAGGCATAGATAGTGTGGATAGTCAGGGGCTTTTTCCCAGGCTGGAAAGGTCAACTACAAGAGGGCACAGGTTCAAAGTGAGAGTGTGAGGGAGAAGTGTAGGGAAAATGTCTCACACAGAGGGTGCCTGGAATGCACTGCCAGTGGAGGTGGCAGAAATAGGTATGTTAGCAATGCTTAAGGCGTAGCTTGATAAACATATGAACAAGAGGTGAACTGGGGGATAGATACATGGGCAATAAGTAGTGGGTATATATAAGGACTAGGAATCAAGGCCTGTTCCTTTCCTCTGTTGTATTGTGTTGCACAATGCAGAAATTAAAACAAGTGAGGTATGCATTGAATGACACATCAAAGGTGTTTCTCAGTGTGGTTGCCCTGTTGAAAGTGGCCTGTATTCAGTTACAAGTAAACCCAGTCATGTTTTATTAGTATCACAGAGAGAAACTAGCAGGCATCTTTATGAAACACATTGATGACTGTTTTGGGGGAACGTTCTGCAGAATTTGACCAACATGTGATAAATAAAATGAAAGAATTTAAAGATTCAGGGGCCTTTAAATCTACAGGATTATATATCAAGCAGAACAAGTTGGAAGTGACCGTGGATTAAGAATCTAGTTTAGAATAGGCCAACCACATGCCAAGAGATAAGGCCCAGTCCCGACGGAATGAGGATCCTGAATCCAACGTAGAACCAGACCAGTTAAAAAGTTTCATTGGTCAGTTAAACATATGCTCCCAGATTAGACCAGGTGCCAGTAATGGCTGTTTGCAACTGAGAACCATGTCAAGAAGAGTTCCAGAGTCAAGAAGGGTCTGAGAGCAAATAAAACACTCAAGAAATTAAATTCAGTGCTCTCAAGTTTCCAGCCTTGAATGATCTAGAAGATGTGGAGTTAGTTATTTTTGGTGATGCTTCACGGGCCAAGTTCGCAGATGGATATTTTAGTATATCAGAGTTTATCCTAGCCACGGTGGGAGAAGCAGAATGGATGTTGTCCACTGGCCTGCAAACTCAAGAAAATAAAAAGGGCAGTTAAAAGCACTTTAGCTGCAGAACACTGACAGTACTGGAAAGATTAGGTATGAGAAATAAACTGAGGATATTCTGGAAGTCCTATACAAGGAGGATTCTGAGATAACCTGTCCACAGAATGTAGTGTGGATAATCATCATCTTTGGAAGAATGCTCCTTCAAAAAGTGGTGTCAAAACAAAAAGCTTAAGAATTGGCCTTGCTACTATGAAGAAAATGTTGGAAAGTAAAGAGATTTCTAAAATAAAATGATTGACGCAAGCCACCAAACTGTTTTACAAAACCAAATATCTGTCCCAAAGGCATTATCAGACATCTTCAATGAGGAATACCCTGTGTTATGATGAAAACATGGAATATTGAGATGGGAACAGGGAATATTTTTATACACTTCTTTTCAGAAAATTGCTTTGTAATTATTTCTGTGTGTAGAAAAATTACTTATTTTAAAGAATGGGAAAATTGGGATCTGTTAACGGTTGGTTATATTACAAGGTGCAACATAGAGGGAAAACAAACATTTTATTTCATTCATTAGTGTTGGGAAGATTGTTCTTTAAAAATTATATTTAAAGAGGGAAAAAAGGAAGACCTGTAAATGTCTGTAAATCATATTGCTAAATTTGTTAATGCCTGTTAAAATTGTTAAAGTTAAGAAGAAATAAATGGTGCCTATTAATTGTCTGAGCACATGTATTTATCATAGAAATCATAGAATCCTCACAGTGCAGAAAGAGGCCATGTGGCCCATCGAATCTGCACTGACCCTCTAAAGAGCATACCACTCAAACCCAGTACTCCCACTCTATCCCTGCATTCCCCATGGCTAATCCACCTAGCCTGCACATCTCTGGACATTACAGGGCAATTTAGCACGGCCAATCCACCCTACCCTGCATATCTTTGGACTGTGGGAGGAAACCGGAGCACCCCGAGAAAACCCACACAGACATGGGGCAAAACTCCACATGGTCACCCAAGGCTTGGACCAAACCCGGATCCCTGGCACTGTAAGGCAGCAGTGCTAACCACTGGGTCACCGTGCTGCCCTATAGTACACATATATAGATCAAGTAACATTGGCTGTGGAATAAGAGACCAGACCAAATCAATAAATTTTCCCCTCAAAAGATATTGGTGTCCTTATTTTAATTGGTCCAATTGGCTTGGAATCTATTTTCACACCACATCCCTGATTTTAATTGCCCCAGTACTGGTGAACTGTACCTTCAGCTGCCTGGGCCCTAACCTATGGATTGTCTCTCTAAACCAGTCTATTTTGCTCACCAATTTAAAAAACACTTGAAAACTTACAAGAGGAACTGTGCATCCTCCCCTTTGGTCTGTTTGGTGACAGGGGCATTTAATTGGAGGGGGTGGGGGTTGGGGGATAAGGTTGATGGCCTTTCCAACTCAATGCCAATTGAGACATAGAAGTAGGAAATTAATGCCCTTTTAGTAAAGGAATCAAGGGGATCCCACATTTAAAGGCAGTCAGTGCCTGACTGAAGGGGCCAACATTGGAAAGCCACCCTCTTGCCAATGCCCTTCCCCGATTCCTCCTCCACGAACCCCACTCCGTGACCCCCCTTCCCGCCATCACCCAGCTTCAGCCTGAGATCCAGCGACAATCCAAGTGAGTGACTACAGCAAACGCCAACTCACCGTGCTGAAGAGCTGCCGGTCTCTGATTGGCTGCCAGATCTCAACAGGACAGGACGTCTACTGGGTCGGAAGACCCAGGATTGGCCTGTGGCGTGCCTGTGTGACACAGGATTGGCTCTCACTGCGTTTAGATTAAAGATACCCCTTTCTGCCCATGATAGTGGAATGTGAGGAGAAGCTAAACTGGAGACGAAAACTGAACTGTATCCTGCTGAGGGGCTTCATCCCTAAAATGGAAGCAATCTTCTGTTTTCTCTCTCTTCATAAGAACTCAATGGACCTTTTAACTAAATGAGTGAAAAAGGAACATTCACGTATACTGACATCTAAAGATAGGCACAGGTGCATAAGGCCATAAAACGAAGGAGCGGAAGTCGGCCATTTTGGCCCTTTGAGTCAGCTCCATCATTCAGTGAGATCATGGCTGATCTAATAATCCTCAACGCCACTTTCCTGCCTTTTCCCCATAACCCTTGATTCCCTTACTGATTAAATATCTGTCTATCTCAGCCTTGAATATACTTAATGACCCAGCCTTGACAGCCATCTGCAGTAAAGAATTCCACAGATTCACTCCCCTCTGAAAGAGGAAATTCCTCCTCAATTCTATATTAAATGTGTGACCCTTACACTGAGACGATGCGCTCTGGTCCTAGCCTCTCCCACAAGGGGAAACAACCTTTCCACATCTACCCTGAATCTTGTAATGTTTCAATAAGGTCACCTCTCATTCTTCTGAACTCCACGAGTACAGGCCTAACCTACTCGACCTCTCCTCCTAAGACAGTCCCTCCATACCTGGTGTCACCCTAGTGAAGCTTCTCTGGACTACCTCTAATGCCAGTGTATTTTTCCTTAGATAAGGGAATCTAACTCTGTTTATAGAATTCTAGCTGTGGTTTAACTATTGCCTTGTACAGTTTTAGCAAAGCTGTTGATGCTCCGTTCCAATTGAGAATAAGGCCATCATTCAACTTGCCTTCACTGTCATCTTTGTACATTTCTTCATTAACAAGGTGTGCTGTCCCTGCAGGTACAGAAGACAATGATTCCTTTGGCAAAAGAGAAAGAACACAGCCTGGCTAGTTTATTTATAACCGTCTCATAAACTAAGGAGCCATTTCAAACTCCTTTGCTGCACTGCGTCTTCTTGCATAGATCCACAGTTGCAAAAGAAAGAGTTAAGGAGAGGGCCTATTTTATCTCTAACTAGCTGATATCTTCCTGGCTGTTTCCACATGTTTATGTTATCATGTTGTACCCTCTGTGTGGTGTGGCCTCTCATTATGGAGGTGACCCATCATGGTTATCAAAAGCACCGGCCAGAACAGATGTCGTCATATTCCACTCCTGTCAAACAGTACATGCTTCGCATTGCCATAAATAGCCCTGAAGTGCCTCGTGCATTACCCTCCTACCCGACTGGGACACTATCTTACGTGAGATCATCCTGGACACAATTCAGTGCTTACCTCAGCAAGCGTGCCTGATGCTGGTTGTTTCCGTGGCGATGCTGGCTTCAGGCCTTCAGCCACGGGTTCGGCCTCCACCGTTGGAGGTGAAGGTGACGCCTTTCCCTTCTCCTCAGGACGAACGATGTCTGCCAATGGGTACAAGGGCTGGACAGCAGGTGGCGCTACTGCCTCAGAAATGCAGGGGGGAGAAAGGGAGCCATCTTGAGCCTTGGATGGGTCCACGTGAGGTGGACCACCGTTCAGGGAGTCCCTGCTGTGGCTGGACTCCCTATCTCCGGAGGACTGCCACATGCTATTGGTTACGTCATTGTCAGGTGCGCTTTGATTTTGGATTTCGGAAGGGAGGCAGGGCACCTCGATATCCATCTCAATCCTGGCTGTTCCCATGTCCTCGGATTCCTCAGCTTGATCGGGGTCACCTCTCAGCATCACATCAATTAAGGGCGGAAGGTCAACTCTCTCAGTAGAACCTACCTCCTGAGGGTTAATCTGCTCCTGGGCACTAGCTTGGCCCATAGTCTCCTTGGCCTGAGGTAATTGTGGCTGCATCTCAGGTTCCTGAATGGTTTCAAAGAACATATCTTTCATGGAGAAATACATATCTCTGACAGGTGTTTGGAGATTGGAATACACTGGCTCTTGGCCAATGGCTAACGTTGCATCATCGGTGGAATGGGTCACTTCAATGTCCTCAGTGGCTGGGCTTGAAGGCACTGCTGAGGGCTGCCACTGGCCTAGAGTCACTGATGAAGCCTGCTCATCGATCTCCATGCGATCCCTGGATTTAACAGGTTGGGGGTCGCCACGTGACGCATTCCCTCTCAAAGTTTCCGGGAGGCCCTCGTTCCCATCAATCCCGTTCTGGGCACTTTCATCTCTCCTTGAGCTTCCCTCGGCTTTTCCAACCGACAGTGCCTCGCCCTCTTCCTTCGAGAGCCTCCTCTTCTTCTTGTTCGCTGCAAACTCCTTTCCTCTGGGTTGGGGTACCACACGCTCAGTCGCTTGGTCGGAATAACTCAGGAAGGAGATGCCGTTTTCCACCGGTTCCTCCACTGAATTACTCACGGGTGGTTTCCCTTGGGGACCCATCAAGTAACCGTTCTGAATCTCGGGCGCTGAAGGCTGTGGGGGCTTGCTCGTTGCACCCCCTCTTGGTGCATCCGCCATGTTTGTGTGCAAAGCCACTTCATGATGGGGAATGTGGACTTTGACCAAATCTTCGCTGTTCCTCAGAGAGTCGGGTGACTCGACGCCGTCCGCCCCCTGAGATTTCCGCTTCCTCTGGGCCCTCTCTGGGCTCACCGTCCTCAGGAGGTCGTGGTAAGGAGCGTTGGCCGCGAACGCCACGTTCTCCTTCCCCCTGGTCCGTGTCTCCTCCAGCTCGCGCCTCTTGCTGCTCACTTTCTGCTTCAGTCGGGCAAACCATCGCTGGTGAATCTTGTATTCGTTCATTTGGCCAACCTCCAGGATGCCAGAGCAGGACACGATGCCCTTGCTGTTGCGGGCTGAAGCTTGGTAAATGGCTGCGTCATCTTCTGTACACCTGTTGGCACAAACAGTGCCTGGTTACACACGGCTCCTCTACACCTTTAAACATAAAACTTAACGGTTTGTAAAGCTGTTCGACCCCCATGTTCAATTGTGTGCTGACGTGGGGATGAAGTGTGGACTGGTCACTCTGATATCACGTACATTAGGACTAGGCCCCTCAAGCCAATTCTGCCAATCAAGGAGACGGTGTACCAGAACTCCATCTGCCCCCACCTTTGCTTCCCATTTTTTAAAATTCATTAATGGGATGAGGGCCAGGCAGAATTTATTGCATCTCGCTAACTGCCCAGAGGGCAGTTAAGAGTCAACCACATTGCTATGGGTCTGGAGTCACATGTAGACCACACCAGGTAATGATGGCAGTTTCCTTCCCTAAAGGGTATTAGTGAACCAGATGGGTTTTTCACCAAAATTTGACAATAGATTCACATCATTGTTAAATTCTTAATTCCAGATATCTATGGATTTCAAATTCCACCATATGCCATGGTGGGATTTGAACCCAGGTCCCCAGAACATTATCTAGGTCTCTGGATTAACTGTTCAGTAATTATGCCACTAGGCCATCACCTCCCTTTCCTTAATACCTTGAAAATATCAAATGGCTCACAGCCTCAATTGCACCTTTCACAGAATCCCGACAGTGTGGATGCAGGCCATTCAGCCCATCGAGTCCACACTGACCTTCTGAGGTGCATCCCACCCAGGCCGAATCCCCCCACCCTGTCCCTGCATTTCCCATTTCTGGGACACTGTTCCAGATTTTCACCATCTGTCATATTTTCCCATACAATTTAGTTCTAGAATGAAGGTTCATAGAATCATTGAATCCCTACAGTGTGGAAAAAGGCCATTCAGCCCATAGAGTTTTACCAACCCTCCAAAGAGCACACCATCCAGACCCAACACCCCCACCCTATCCCTGTCACTCTGCATTTCCCATGGCCAATCCATCTAACCTATACATCTTTGGACAGTGGAAGGAAACTGGAGCACCCAGAGGAAGGCCATGCAGACACGGGGAGAATGTGCAAACTCCACACAGTCGCCAGAGGCTAGAATCAAACCTGGGTCACTAGCGCTGTGAGGCAGCAGGGCTAACCAATGAACCACAGTGGAGCGGGAGTAGGCCACTCGTCTCCTTGAGCCTGCTCTACCATTCAATAAGGTTTGTTTGTGTTTCTAATGCCATCTTCCCATGTATCCCCAATAACTCTCAATTCCCCTGCCTAACTAAAACCTATCCACCTCTGTCTTAAAAATATTCAATGACTTTTTTCCATTGTCTTCTAAGGAAGAGAATCCCAAAATCCCATGAGCCTCAAAGACAATTGTCTCCCCCTCATCTTTGTCCTGAAATGGTGACCCCAATTCTAAAACAGTGCCCCCTTGGCTCTGGATTGACCACAGGAGGAAACATCATTTCCACATTCACCTTGTCAAGACCATTCAGGGCCTGATTCACTTCAGTCAGATTCCCCCCCTCACACTTCGAAACCCTAGTGGAAATAAACCCAGTCTGCTCTTCATCAGCCAAACCACTTAATCCAGGGATCAATCTGGTAAACTTTCTCTGAACCACCTCCAATGCATTTACATCCTCCCTTAAATAAGTAATCCAGTTTTCTTCACCTTCCTGCCAAAGTCAACAACTTTACATTTTCCCACCTAATTCCACCTGCAGGATTTTACTCCTGCTCTATCTATTTCCGTCTGCAAGCTCCTTATATTTACTGGGGTTGGGGGGCGGTAGGGGGGGAAGGTCACCTAGTTGCTGTTTTCGTCATTAATGTCAGCTGTAAGGCTGACCCTAAACAGTCTGTGAAGTGAACTCTCTTCACTTGTATTCTACCAAACCCCCAGCACTAAGGACTGGCCTGACTGCCATCTCTCAGAGAGAGACAGGTTTACAAAGGTGACAGCAAAATACAGAGGGTAATGCTGTCAGGAAAGAGTAAACAGTCTGGGGCTCTACTCTCCAGAGAGGTCATTCCTGTAAGACAGTCCACAATTGGGTCAATGGGCTGAGGAGTGGCAGATGGAGTTTAATTTGATTTGATTTATTGTTGTCACATGTACCTAAGTACAGTGAAAGGTTTTGTTTTGCATGCAGTACAGGCAGATCATAACATACAGGGACATACAGATCGTAGGGAGAACATAGCAAGGTAAACAAACAAGGGAAGGACTTATACAATTAGAAGTAGGGTCTTGGGTAGTGCTGTAGAATAGAGACCCCTAGAGGCTCAGTACATAATTCTTTGGAGTTTGCATCACATGTAGACAGGGCGGTTAAGAAGGCATTTAGCACACTTGCCTTCATTGCTCAGATCTTTGAGCAAGGAAGTTGGGACATCATGTTGAGATTGAACAGGACATTGGGAAGTCTTCTTCTGGAGTACTGCATCCAGTTCTGGTCACCCAGTTATAGGAAGGATATTATTAAACTGGAAAGTGTTCAGAAGAGATTTACCAGGATTTTGCCTGGAATGGAAGGTTTAAGTTATAAGGATGGGCTGGGACTTTTTTCACTGGAACACTGGGGTGACCTTATAGATGTTTAGAAGATCATGAGGGTTATAGATAAGGTGAATGGCAAGTGTCTTTTTCCTAGGATGGGGGATTTCAAGACTCAGGGGCATATTTTTAAGGTGAGAGGAGAAAGATTTAAAAAAGGCAAGGGGCAACATTTGTTTTTACACAGAGAGTGGTTCATGTGTGGAATGAAATGCCAGAGGAAGTGGTGGATGTGGGTACAGTTACAACATTTAAAAGGCATTTGGATAAGTACATGAATAAGAAATGTTTGGAGGGATATGGGCCAAGCACAGGCAGATGGGACTAGGTTAGCTTGGGAACGTGGTCGACTGGACTGGTTGGACCGAAGGGTCTGTTTCCGTCTGTATGACTCTATAATAAATCAGACAGGGCATTCAGGAGAAATGTCTCGACCCCAGGAATGCTGAGAATGTGAAACTCCTCATGCTGTGTGAAGGGTTGGGTTGAACACATAAGGGAAGCTAGATGGGTACATGAGCGGTGCTGGAGTTAGATAAGAAGGATGAAAAGAGGTTCATAAGGAATATCAAAACCAAGACAGCCAATGTTTCAAATTGTCCACCTCTGTAATGTAAATTCCTATATCATGGATATGCAGGAAGAGCAAATTAGGGATGGACTCAATGACGAATTGGTTAAACAAGGAGACTAAAAATGAAACAGGTTCCTGTCAAATGCAAACTTCATGTTTCACCATCATTGACAGACACATCAAACTGTTCCTCAAAATGATCACAAGGTTATACATGGATTCCTGAGATTATTTAGAAGGTTATAAACTGATCAAGGTGAGAAGATGGTTTAAATATGAAGTATGTAATGGATACTTGGATGAATTGAGCAATTTAGATGGAAATTATATACAGAGTGTCTTTATGGAACAAAGAAAAGTACAGCACAGGAAAAGGCCCTTTGGCCCATCAAACCTGTGCTGACGCGTGATGCCTCTCTAAACTAAAAACCTTTTACCTCTATGTGGTGCATATCCACCTATTCCCTGCCTATATCTATCTGTCTTGATGCCTCTTAAACGTTGCTAATGTATCTGCCTCCACCACTTCCTCTGGCAGTGCATTTCAGGTACTTACCACCCTCTGTGTTAAAAACATGCTCCTCACATCCCCTTTAAACCCACCCGTTTTACCTTAAACCTATAGGCCCCAGTAACAGACATTTATACTCTAGAAAAAAGACTCCAAATATCCATTCTATCCATGCCTCCTATGATTTTGTAAACTTCTATCAGGTTGCCTCTCATCCTTCGATGTTTAAGTGAAAATGATTGTCCAATCTCTCCTCATAGCTAATACCCTCCAAACCAGGCCACATCCTGGTAATCCTTTTCTGTACTCTATCCAAAGCCTCCCCATCCTCTGGTAACATGGTGACCAGAATTTACACAAAATTCCAAATGTAGCTTAACTAAACACGAATTGCCAATTTTTATACACTATACCCAACTGATGAAGGCAAGCATGCCATTCGCCTTCTTGACCACCTTATCCACTTGTGTTACACATTCACAGAACTGTGGATCTGTGCGCCTAGATCCCTTTGTATGCTGATGCTTCTAAGGGTTCTGCCATTTACTGTCTACTTCCCTCCTGTATTAGATCTTCTAAAATGCATCACCCCGCATTTGGCTGGATTAAACCCCATCTGCTATTACTCCGCCCAAGTTACCTGCCTGTCTTTATCCTACTGTATCCTCTGGCAATCCTCCAAACTATCTGCAGCTCCCCCAAACTTTGTGTCGTCCATACACTTACTAACAACTTACACATACATACAACTTCTGTATCAGACTGCCATGAAGGATCTTGGGGCCTCGTACTAAAGTCCACTTGACAACATCTGTCCCCTTGCCCTCATCAACCATCTTTGTCACTTCCTCAAAAAAACTCAATCAAGTTTGTGAGGCATGACCTCCCCCACTGAAAGCCATGCTGCCTCTCACTAATAAGTCCATATTTTTCCAAGTAAAATCTTAGAGTCACAGAGATATACAGCACAGAAACAGATCCTTCGGTCCAACTCATCCATGCCAAGCAGATATCCTAAATTAATCTAGTCCCATTTGCCATGCGAATAAAATCCATCCCTAAGAATCTTCTCCAATAATTTTCCCTACCACTGACACTCCCAGATTATCCCTGTTGCCCTTCTTAAACAAAGGAACAACACTGGTTATTCTCCAGTCTTCTGGGACCTCACCTGTGACAAAACAGGATACAAAGATTTGGTACAAGGCCCCAGCCACTTTCTCCCTCAGCATTCTGGGATAGACCCCATCAGGTCCTGGAGGCTGGTCTACCTGAATGTTTTCAAAACACCCAACACCACCGTTTTACATTGACATTCCGCAGAATATCGATGTAAACCTCTCTAGACTCTAGATGTCCTCCTCTTTGTGAATATTGATGCAAAGTATTTGTTAAGGACCTCACCCACTTCCTTCAGCTCTAGGCATAAATTCCTTCCTTTGTCCTTGAGCGGACCTACTCTTTTCCCAGGTACCCTCTTGCTCCTGACATATGTATAAAAAGCCTTGGATTTTCTTTCACCCTGTTTGCCTAGGTCATTCCACGATCCCTTTTAACCCTCCTAACTCCTTGTTTAAGTTCTTACCTTGTAGCCCCTTGTCTAAGTTCTTTAAAACATAGTTATCATTATCTTGATGAGGTGTGTGTGTATCTGTGTGTTTGTGTGTGTGCGTGTCTGTCTGTGTGTGTATGTGTGTGTATGTGTGTCTGTGTCTGTCTGTGTGTGTGTATGTGTGTGTTTGTGTTTGTGTGTGAGTCAGTGAGTATGAGTGAGAGGGTTAGAGCTGCAAAGGCAAATTACATAATTTTACTGCTGCTGAGTTTTACCAGAACTGACCAGACGGAAGGGGCTTGCTAAAGGAGTCCGGGACATCACGCTAAGTTGGACAACAGTGGATCTCCCATACGTTGTTGGGGGCTCATATGAGTGTCTGTGGTTGTGTAAAATAAATTTGTGTTATATTGACCATCTAAAGTGAAACTTCTTTTTTAATAAGGAGTGTCATTTGTATGTTAATTCATGTTTAATTTTAATTGGTTCAGATACCTGTCAAATAAAAGCTGTCAGAAGTGGAACCTTGGTGACAACTTCTTCACTGGTGGAATCATTAAATACATTTGTTTATTTGGTTATATTGATCGATGACGGCCCATTGGGATTGTAACATTACCATGTAGTACTTTTCATGATGTTACACTAACTGCACCAATGTGTCACCGACTCTCACACGTCCATTATCCAGTGCAGGAGACACAATTATTTCAGAGATACAGAACGATCATTTTATGATTGATTGTTACAATATTTACCAACACCTTAAATGGAAGAACAATACACCACAGAAGGAGACCACAGGACACATTGAATGTTCCACCAATCCAGTTAGTCCTACACTTTCCCACGTTCCTACAAATTTATTTCCCCTTCCAGTATTTATCCCATTTGTCTTTGCAAGTTACTAGTGAATCTGTATCTATCCCCTTTAAAGCAACATATTAAAAATCCTTACCACTTGCCGCAGACCAAATTCTTTTCTGATTTTGCTGCTTTTTTTCTTAATCACTCGCATTAACTCCGAATCATTTGGATATTCAGTCTCTAACTATTGAGAATGGCATTTCTTTACATATTTCACTCTGTCAAACCTAAGCTGGGACTCTGACGGAGTCTTGGCAGAGGAAACTGTAGTTACAAACGTTTCTCACCAACCTCTCAAAACGCTGCACACTGCATGTATACCTGTCAGGCATTTACACCATGCCCACAGGAGCGAGAGGTGTATCCTGTTATCCATATGGTTTGGTGCAATCTGACGTTGCTATGGAGATTTGTTGTTGGCAGGCAATTGAGGGAGTATACAGCGAGTAGTGAGGGTATGGAATGCACTGCCAGGAAATGTGGTGGAGGCAGGTTCAATTGGGGCAATCAAGAGGGCATTGGATGGTATTTTGCAAAGAAATGGGGACCAGGGATATGGGGAAGGGCATGAGATTGGCGCTAGAGGATAGAACCAGTCACAATGGGCCGAACAGTCTCATTCTATACTATGTAGTTGAAGTTGATCAATCTGCGGAGAGCTCATCCCTGATATTTCTTGATAAATACTTTTTATCAACCTGGTCAGAACAGGGGGAAGAGGTTGGCTGTGTAGGATCTGAAACACATACAGATCGGTCATGACCTTATTGAATGGTGGAGCATACTCGATGGGCTGAATAGCCTACTTCCGCTCTGATTGTGTACGGCCCCTTTTGGGGCAGCACAGTGCACTCAGGCAATGATACATACCCTCCAATATGAACTGATCATTTAACGGAGTGCACCCAGAGGAATTTTGACCCCTTGGGATCTGAGAGAACAAGAACAAGCAACATGTTTCTGTACTGGCTGATCAACTAAGGCAGCTGGTGAGAGGTCACAGTGCCTGCGCCCTGCTCCAGGTAGGTAAAGCAATGCAGACCACTGATATAAGCCATCTATCCGACAGGGAGATCAGAAGCAACCTCTCTGACTGAAGCACGGGGAAAACATGGAACTTACCACCAAAGGATAGATGGGCAGCTGCATTTAAAATGGGAAACGGATAAGCACAGGAGGTGGATAAGGAATAGACCAGAAGGCTAACAGGGTTGATAAAGGAAAGAGAAGCCTTATGTGGAGGATGAACATCAGCACCAAGCAGATGGGCCAAAGGGTCTGATCAGCACTGTACGTCCTAGAAATCTTTGAAAACCTCCTAAATGAATATATCTGCAAATAGTTAAAAGAACAGGCTCCCACAGGCAGTAGGAGATGTACCAGCAACACATGATTGTAGAAAAGTCCTTCCATTATTTCCTTTAAACCTGAGGATCTGGAAAGATTAGACACGATTAGAGCGAAAAGACATTTCATGTGGGTGAGCAAAATGGTGGAAGGTGGAAATGTTAACGGCAGGACTGGATTGCAACTTCTTCACCTTCTCCATTTTTGAGAACTTTTTAATGTATTCTTTCTTGGGATGTGTGTGTGAGAGAGCGAGAGAGAGTATATGCGTGAGAGAGAGAGTGTGTGTTTGTGTGTCTGTGTGTGTGTGTATACGTGTGTGTTTGTGTTTGTGTGTCTGTGTCTGTGTCTGTGTGTGTCTTTGTGTGTGCGCATCTGTGTGTGTGTGTGTTGTGTGTCTGTGTGTGTGTGTGTGTTGTGTGTCTGTGTGTGTGTGCGCGTTGTGTCTGTGTGTGTGCGTGTCTGTGTGTCTCTGTGTGTGTGTTGTGTGTCTGTGTGCATGTCTGTGTGCCTGTGTCACTGACACCGGCACATTGTAACTGCCCTCGGACTGAGCAGCCTCTCCGAGCTAGTTCAAAGGGCACTTAAGAGTCAACCACATTGCTGTGGGTCTGGAGTCACATGTAGGCCAGACCAGGTAAGGAGGCAGTTTCCTTCCCTAAAGGACATTAGTGAACCAGATGGGCTTTTAAAACAATCAATAACAGTTTCATGGTCACCATCTCTGAGATCAGTTTACAATTCTAGATACAGCATAAACTTTGTTTTAACCAGTGCCTTAATCAACCGGCATTCTTGGTAAAATTATGTACTTCAAATATCGTGATCTACTGTGCTGTCGGAGTATTTATGCTGTAAATAAAGTATAACAGTGATGTGTACACCCCCGAATTACATTTCTATTACTCACTGTGTGTTTTTACATTGATATTAGGAGATTTAACACAGGTTTATTTTGAAGGATGTTGTCTCGGTCAGGTTTATTGCAGTTAGGCGTACCTCTTGATTATCCGGAATATTTGATCATCCGACACACTCCTGGTCCATAGGGGCTGATAAATAAAAAGTTTGCAGTATGACTAGCCAAATCTAAATTCTACCAGTTGCAGTGGATTTGAAACCATCCCAAAGTACTAGCCTGGGCCCTGGGCATTGATGTCACCACCCCCCCCAACTTACTTATACAGGTGAAGTGAGTGCTTTCTTCCGTAGTGGAATATTTGATATTTGGGAAGGCCGCAGTAGCGATCCATCTCCTTGTCATCTTTGTACCAAGTGATCTCTGGTGCTGGGTGACCTGGAAATGGAATACATCCAGTTCAGAGCCCGCAACATGTAAACATTCCCCCAGCATATTGTGTTTCAAATCTGGGTCACAACATTCTGGAGAAAATTAAACTTACACAAAAGGATACAGAGCTTGCATTTCATTAGAACTTTACCCGATGTCAAGACACCACCCCCCCACCCCCGCCAAGGGGCAGTGAATCTCAGTGAGGCATCAAGGACCCCATGTTTTACTCCTTCCTGAATGATAACTGAGTTACAGAGGAGTAACTCACAGCTAACCAGAAGAAGGATGTGTTGTCCCAGTCGAATTCGTGTCTATGTGTATTAAGACCAGCGAGAATTGGTCGTGTCTCTTGGTGGCTAGTTGGTGTTCATGTATCCGTATTGTCAGTTTTCTCTCCGTTTGGCCTATGTAGTGTTTCTCACAGTCCTTGCGTGGTATTTTGTATATTACACCAGTTTTGTTGGTTTTGGGTATGAAAACTTTACATTCGTGAGTAGCTGTCATAGGGTGGTTGTTGGTTTGTGGTCTGAGTAGAGTAACCCCGAGGTATCAGAGTATCTGGTCTGAGT